ACGGGCAACGACACGATGGCGCTCGCGTATCAAGTCCAGCTCCTTTGGTGGCTCTCGCTCGGCGGACTATGCATGATGCTCTTTGTGCGCGCCGACTCGGCCGACCGGTTCTACCGCGGGTACCGGTTCACGGTGTGCGGCAAAGTCGTGGTGCAGCGACCGTGGCAAGGACCCGCGCAGCGCCAAGGCACATGGGATATTTGCGCCGACGTCCATAACCCAAATGCGATTCGGAGCTCGATCCCGTACCTCTGCGCTTTAGACTCGCCCAACGACTACGACGACGAGATCATCTCGCTCAGTGACGAAGACTTGCCGTGACGCAGCGAGTGCATCGATTACCGAAGCCATCGATGCTTGGTCGTTGAGGGATCGATCATATATTTGCATTTTCTTACATTGGCTCGACACGAGTGTGTCATACAATCCTTCGAGGTCCATTGCAGGCACCGACGCCAAGTTCAAGACGCCGATTCATCGTTTTTGAGTTTGAGATCGAGTGGGATCTCTTATTAAGAGAAAGCTCGCACCTGACTCCTATTCGGACAAACAACGAATCGACTAGTCACACGCAACATCGATGACGTGGCAAGCCACAGAGTCGTCATTCTCGGAACAACTTAAAAAATATCCAAAAGAGCGTCATGGATTGTTGTGGGTCGGCACAACATGCAGCTCTCGAGTACGATCGACTCGAATATGCCGGCCCCTGCTGCTTATCGTCGTCTATACTTGTGATCAATGAAGATTTGTCTTCAAGAACTGCCGTTCATTAGATCTGTCTTGAAGCGTGAGCTGGAGAGCGACCGTAAGGGACCGCTGTTGCCGCCCGACTATGTCAATTTCCAAGTGACTTGGCGAATCGCCGGCCCACCACAGGTCATCAACGACAAGACAAGGCGAGACGTTATAGAAACCAAAGTCGCTCTCGCGTCTTGCTGATCGATTCCCCTTTGAGGATCCGTCCACTCTCGTAAGCTTGGGGCACAATACCACAATCACTACACATACACAATCAACTCTAGCTATACTTGCGATGTGGCCACGGTATCACTTGGTCGCCTCAGCTTCGAGGCTGCCCAACGAGCTCGACGATGACCAGAGGTACGGCATTG